ACTAGGAATAGCTAAGAGCTTGTTATAAAATGATTTGGCCTTAGATTAAGAATAATTTAAGAGCATGGTTGAGATATTGAATATCGAATGACTTGGAATAAAATATTGAGAATATCATGAATGTTTGAATCATATATTGTGTGCATGATATCAAATGGTTGATTATGAATTGAGATTCAATTTATTTGGATGTTCGACGCTTTAGATATGCTTACTCAGCTTCATCGCTGAGCGTGTAGTATGTTTTATTTGCTACACGCAGGTAAATAGAATGAATGATTGGCTGATTCCTGGCAGCAGAAGGGGCGAGACAGTCGTGGTGGATCATTGAACAAAATAAATAATTATGTTGTTATGAGACATGTTTGAAAGTCGCTTCCGCATTATTATTATTATTAAACACTCCGTATTTTCTACAATTATGTATGGAATATTATTTATAAATAAAAATGTTTGAAATGTTTTAAATTTTTACGATTACCAAGTTAATACTTTAGTCCGAAAGGGGCTGCAGACCTGGACGGATTAGGGTGTTACACACCTTGAGTCCGACGGGGTCCCCGGTGTAGGTCCATATAGGTATTAGATATGTATTAATGTTAATATATAAAAAACGCTTGTCACTTAGTAAACAGAAGCGCGTTTGGTTCAGTGGAAGTTCGGCCTGATGCGTCTCCCTTGAGACGGGGGTTCGAGTCCTAGCGGTGATTTTTTTGGAGACAATTTCTCTGAGTCAACTTTTACTTTATAAGCAACAAAAGTCAAAACGGCGTCGTTTCCTCCCCCCCATTTTCTCAGCAAATTTCTTCTCTTCCCCAATTCTTTAATTCACATTTTTGATTTTGGAATTTGGAACCCTAAACTTCTAATCTGTCGTTCTGCTGCCCACTGCCCAGCTGACGCGAGACCGCGACTTGCAGACCAGCGACCGCCGTCTAGCCTCCACCTGCCAGGCCGCCACCGACGGGCGACCGCCGCACCCAGGCTTCCAGGCACCCTGCTTCATCTTCTTCCCTGTCTCTGGTCTCCGTCACTCCCGCGGTAAGGTAAAAACTTTTCTTTATTTTAGGCATTGTTCATGTCGAAGAAACTACTGCATTGTCTCTCAAAAAGCACTTGAGAGTACATTATCCCAATATGGATTATGTATATCAAATATAAGGGGACATGGCTATGATGGAGCAAGTAATATGCGTGGAAGGCTTGGTGGGTTGAAAACTTTAATTCAAAATGAAAATCCATATGCTTACTATGTTCATTGTCTTGCTCATCAACTTCAGTTGTCTCTTGTTGCATCTTTGAAAGGACTTGTTGAAGTTAATTGGTTACTTCTCCATGTTGGTCGTGTTATTAATGAAATTGCTTCATCTAATAAACGACAAGATATCCTCCGAGAGAAGCAAGCGGCTAATTTAGCAAGTGCTTTATCAGAAGGATTATTGAAAACAGGTCGGGGCTTAAATCAGCAATTAACTTTGGTAAGAGCGGGTGACACCCGTTGGGATTCACATTACAGAACACTTTTGAATTTGCAAAATTTGTTTCCATCTGTTATTGAAGTACTTGAGCATTTGCAAATTCATGATAGAAGTGGAGAAGCTAAGTCATTATTAACAGAGTTGCAAACTTTAGAATTTTCTTTCATGCTTCATGTAATGGTTGAGGTTTTGGGTGTCACTTGGGATTTGTCAATAGCATTGCAAAGATGTGAACAAGATTTGTTGAATGCTTTGAAACTAGTTGAGATTGCAAAACCACGCTTGCAGAGCATACGATCAGACGATGGATGGAATCTTATTTTCCAAAAGGTTTTAGTGTTTTGTGAGAGATGTTCTCTTAAGGTGCCTGATATGAATGATTTATATGTTAAAGTGAACACTTCTGCACGCAGGGCTCCTATTATTTCAAACATAAATCATTATAAAATAGATTGTTTGTTTGAAATTATTGATAGGTTTGTTGAAGAGCTTGATAGTCGATTTGATGTGGCGAGTACGGAGTTGCTGAGCTGTCTAGCTTGTTTGAATCCATCTTCCTCATTTGAAGCATTTGACAAGAAAGCTTTACTTAGAATGACTGAATTCTACCCGAATGAATTTTTAGGAGTTGATCGTTTGACTTTGGAGAATCAGCTTGAGAATTATATCATGGATGTTCGCTCTGACCATATATTCAATGATTTAAAGAGTATTGTTGAGCTCTCGGTGAAAATGGTTTCCACTAAAAAGTCTCTTACGTACGGTTTTGTATATGCTCTCATAAAGTCGGCATTGATACTTCCTGTGACAACAGCAAGTGTTGAACGGTCTTTTTCGGGAATGAAGTTCGTGAAAAATGAGTTGCGGAATAAAATTTGTGGTCAATGGTTGAATGACTGCTTAGTAACTTATGTTGAGAGAGATGTCTTTTCCACCATTAGTGATGATGTAATTATAAATCACTTCCAAAGTATGAAAACTAGACGAGTACAATTGTAAACGATATTGTTTTCGTATGACTTTATTTATATGTATTAATTATGGTACTCTTAAAATATTAGTTTTAATTTATTGTTATATGTTAAGGGAGCAGCCGTAACCCGTAACTCCGTAAGGACCCGATCAGCCTCTGGCTCCAACTCGTGGCAAATACTCCGTACTCCATATCTCTGCTTCTCCTTCAACATCCGACTTTAATTGGCTCATAAGTCCAGAACGCCGAACCGGGGTGTGGTCTCCATCGGAGATGAGCTCCGTGAAGCGACTCGCGGCGGTCAATGATGAGGCGACCAGCGGCAGCTTTGACGAGAGGAGGCTGAGGCGGTTCTTAGGCGACGGCGAACAGCGTGCCTCGATCTCTCTCCTCCTTTTTGAACCAGTGGCGGGCTTGGTCGCCCTCACAGCGGCTGTGAGCCCTGGGTGGCATGACTGACTGCATGCGAAGCCCCACGCCTTCGATGCAATTGCTATTCCGGATCTTAATCGGCACCTTGAACCGCAGCAGACAAGGAGACAAACGTGATCTCCACGGCGGCGCCGCGGCAGTATGGGACCCCGACGGCGGTCAGCGCTGGGGCGACCTACAACGGAATCCAGCGAGGTTGTCCCCCAGATCTGCTCCTCCTCAACTCATTGCAAAATCCGATCACCAACACAGCACCAAGGAGCGATAAACGACATCCGGCTATGAAGCTCGGCATAGAGATCTGACTTGGGTAGATCCGGTCGCGACTTGTATCTGGGTTTTTTTATTTTTTATAGAAGAGTGAAGACTAATGCATGTAAGAGCATTGGTATGGGCATCACGCTAGGGGCATTATTGCCCCTTTTAACGCCAAAGGGTCAGCAAACACTGCCTCTTGGGGCTTCATAAATCATAAGGGCTTCATCGCTGGTGCTTCAAAATTTTAACGGGCTTCAAACTTTTCTATTCTCTCTCTTTAAAAAAAACATACATAAACATAATTTTTTTTACTCTATATTTTTTTGTTTAATGTAATATTTTTTTGTTTAAATTTTTTTTAGTAATGTAATTTTTTTTGTTTTTTTTTCAATCTAACATACTTTTTTTATTGATTGTATTTTTTATTTAATGAATTATGTCAGTTTGCAATTTGTTACTACAACTCGAATTTGAATGAAGATACTTTTAGTCGCTCGAATAATTAGTAATTTCTTTGTAGTATTGTTTTTTTATGGATGTAATATTTTTTTAATGAATGTAACTTTTTTTATGAATGTATTCGTTTATGAATGTAATATTTTTTTAATTATGCAATTTTTTAATGCACTAGTCTCCTTTTGATTAATTTAAATAATAAATTAATTAAAATTTATTAATTTAAATTTAGAAGATGTATATTTAAAAATGTAAAAAATGAAGGTTTGAAGTCCCTGTTTGAAGCCCCGGGGCTTCAAACCCATTTCCACTGAATCTGTGAGGTAAGTTAAAGCTGATGTGGCAGAGAGAAATTTTGAAGCCCCGAGACTTCACGAGTATTTCCAGTGCTCTAACATATTCAGATTTTCCATCTCATCTTCGAAGCATCAAGTCCAATGGTTATTGTACCATCCCTCTCTAAATCTTTCTTTTGGATTATCTAGGCGAGGCGGATCGACCAAGATCTAGCCGCAAGCGGCGACAACCTCAGCTATCCCCTCGTGACAATGATGACTGCAGCAGTTCCAAGACGATCTCGGCATTTGGAGAGGACCCCTTTATATCTCCAAAGTTTGAACAAGAATGGTGAGGTCCCAAATTCCAAGTCCCACTTGTGGCAAATAGCAAATGGGATCCCCAAACAAAACCACTTTTTGTGATTATTTTGCATAATAATCAACAATCCTCCTATATACAATGCTAGGTGCATTTTATGAACAGTGTTCCCGCCTAAACTAAAGGCTTAGTGGATCGGGTTTGGGCCAGGCGATGGAAAAGATGGGTTTAGGCTTGCTTTGTGGTTCGGGTTTAGGCCTGGCGTGGTGTTGGGCTCAATAAAATTGCTTTATGTCTATTCAATTTTAGTATTTCTAAAAAGTTGCATTGGGGAAAAGAGGATTGACTGGCTCCATAAAATATATTTGAGAAAAAGTAACTTTGTGTCAAATCGATTAGAAAAAGTAAACTCTAGAAATAATCTAAACTCAGAATACTCAATACCTGGACGGATCCAACGATATTAAGAGGGTGTTTGGGAGTGATTAGCTTATTGATAAAGTGATTTCTACAAAAGCTGAAAGCAAAAGCACCTCATACCTGCTTCTCCGAAACGGTGTTCCATGTACAAAATAATGTTGGTGAAAAGCAGAAGCTGACATGCCAAACAGAGTAAAATCACTTCCATTCAAAACAGAAGCTAAATTGTTAAAAGCAGCGCACTGCCAAACACCCTCTAACCTTTCTAGTGCGGCTGGAATACCAAAACCGGATTAGTTGAAAAACTTTTTAATCCAACAAAACTCTGGCCTAGGCAAGCATTGGGCTCATAACAATGGCCTTTATATTAACCCAGCAAGGCCGCCCTCATCAATAGGCTCTCATGAAGTCCACGTCAGACCCACATGTCAAACTTTCATTGGTTTGTATGACGATCCCTACGCGCGTCTTTACGGTTTTAACGTATTGAAGCCAAAAATAAGATCTTTATTATTACAGCGTTCCTTATTTCACTGTCTTCATCTCTATCTCCTCTTAAAACCCTGGTAGCCGCTCCAAATCCGATCCATATACAGGCAAGAATCGCGCGCGTCACCTAGCAGGTAACATTCATCTTGCGAATTTTCATTTCCGAAATGTTTTTCCAATTCGTCTAGATTTAGTTACCCTAGTGGTTGAAGAAATTGTTGCCCGCCGTGAAAAAGATCAATCGTGATTTGATTCTCTCTGTAATGGGTGGGATTCATTTGATGATTTTAATTTTTGAGTGAAAATCTTTTCCTCGGACGAACGGAAAGATAGTGATTTTTTTGTCTAATTTTGCAATGATCATGTGCCATGGACATTTCCACTCCAAATTTATCTCTGGGATTTTTTAGATTAATGTGATATAGCTTCTGCTGCAGCGTGAAGCAGAAAAGAGCAAGGATACGGGACCAAGGATTCATAGTCTTAAGGATGAAGAGCAACGAGCGTCTAGCAAATATACTCTTAACAGGTCAATTTGTTTACCAGATTGAGCTTTATTTATGCTTTTGTCAAAATTTGGTTCGTTTAGTTTTTTTAATTATTTAACTTTTGGTTGTTTAAACTTTCATCCTGCTTCCAATAAATGCTCTGAAAATACCTTCTTGTTTCTAGCTTTAATAGATTGACTATAGCCAGAGTGTCATGTTTTTACTAGCCATTACAAGAGTATGACTTAATAATGTCTTCATAGTTCTTATTTTATTTTCGTTTTGTTTGATTTTCAATGTCGAAGATGAATCTTGTTCTTATATTTTAAATTTTGAGGTTGTAACTTGTAAGATGAATAATACTAATATATTTTAAACCTAATGCTCATAGACTAATTACAACAATATTACCCGAGTGTCTCAAAGGTTCCTGCCCATTGTGGGTTAAGGGGACTCAGATGTACACAACCTGACCTCTATGTTTAAAACGTTGAGAAATTGTTTCTATATGCCCATGATGAGTGTCGAATGTTGCACTAACCGCTACTTCACTATTAGAAGAAGCGCAAGCAATTTAAAGAGCCATTTTACATTAATCCATCATACCCCAAAGCCAAAAAGTAGTGATTATTTGGCTACATTGGAGATAATTGAAAAATGCTCATAGACTAATTACTTGAATAAATATCGGTGTTGCTAAATCCAAACCCAAAATGGTTATATCTACACCTTACACCTAAAGTTTCAAAATTCGCACCCATTAATATAAGTTTGATATTGTTGTGGATTCAACACATTTTGGCAACTTTTGAATGGGTAAGTGCTGAACCAGTAAGAGGTCTGAACCATTAAGTGCTGAACCAGTAAGAGGTCTGAACCATTAAGAGCTAGTATATTGCTTAACTATTCAGAGGCAAATGTCTGATCAATTCAGATAAGAGGTCTTAACCATTCAGACTCTGTATAATACTTAACCATTCAGAGGCAAATCTCTTAACCATTCAGACATTTGAACCATTAAGAGGCTGAAACAAACAGTCTGAACCATTAAGTGCTGAACCAGTAAGAGGTCTGAACCATTAAGTGCTGAACCAGTAAGAGGTCTGAACCATTAAGAGCTAGTATATTGCTTAACTATTCAGAGGCAAATGTCTGATCAATTCAGATAAGAGGTCTTAACCATTCAGACTCTGTATAATACTTAACCATTCAGAGGCAAATCTCTTAACCATTCAGACATTTGAACCATTAAGAGGCTGAAACAAACAGTCTGAACCATTAAGTGCTGAACCATTCAGACATTTGAACCATTAAGAGGCTGAAACAAACAGCCCCTTAGGTGAAAGATATGGATGTAGCCATTTTGGGTGTGGATTTAGTGTCAGCCAATAAATATATAAAGAGCAATGCATAGTACTAATATATGATTTAAAGTTGAAAATTTTAAACATAAAGATACACTCAAAAATGATGATTTGAATAGCCCATCCCAGCCCCGCCATTTAATTTTGTCACATCTTGGTAGAAATAAACCAACAATGATGGTTGCATGTATTAATGGAACCATATGTCCCGTAGCATGGAGGTGACAGAGGATGTTGATAAAGTGTTTAATGGTGTGATCTCTTTGAATTTTGAAATACTAACAGGATTGTAGTCGCTAATTATGCTTTGATTTCTGGTTCTTTTTCAGGTTTAACATTTGCTCCACTTATGATAAATATAGACCCAAATCTGAATGTCATTTTAACAGCTTGCCTCACAGTGTATGTGGGTTGCTACCGTTCTGTTAAACCAACTCCACCTTCGGTATGTTAGTTACTCCATGTGTTGCAGCCTTCTTCAATAATGATAATAAAAAAAGATTTACATAGGTATATAGATCATATATGATGATGCCTAAATATTTGTTATTTTTTATTTGTAGGAATCAATGTCTAGTGAACATGCAATGCGATTTCCCTTAGTTGGAAGTGCAATGTTGTTGTCACTGTTCTTGCTTTTTAAGTTCTTATCTAAAGACCTGGTGAATGCTGTCCTGACATGTTACTTCTTTGTACTCGGCATTGCAGCTCTGTCGTATGTGCTTTTAGTATGGATCAGTTCACTAATGCTTAATACTTTATGTCAATAGATGAGTAATATCATGTCAAATTCCTGTCTATTAAAATCTGTAGAGCAACATTGTTACCTGAAATTAAGAATTTCTTGCCAACAAAGTGGAACGAAGATCACATAAGTTGGCGTTTTCCATATTTTCACTGTAAGATTACTTGAATTTAAGCTTATATTTTATATGAAATTTTAGCTTTTTTATACAGTAGAGGCTCGCATTCGTTCCTTCTATACTCGGTGTTTTTTTCCTAGTGTGGTTACTGAAGCAAAATATGCCCATCCACACTGGATGCTTATTTTAAGCACCAAAAATTTATCATGTCTTAGGCAGAATCTTAAGTAGTAAGCTGTGGTATTATTCCCTCACCCTCCTTTGTCAGCTTTGGATATCAAGTTCACAAGGTCTCAGATTGTAGCTGCAATTCCTGGAACTCTTTTCTGTGTATGGTATGCAAAGAAAAAGCATTGGCTTGCAAACAACATTTTGGGTCTTGCATTCTGCATCCAGGTCGGTTATCTATGCATGTGTGCACTGCTTTTGTTTCCAAGATGGGAACCCTTTTCATAGATAATAATTGGGTTCCATAAGTATTTGTAAATGCTTTCATAGATAATTTTATTTGAGGGATATCTATTCCCTTTGCATGCCTTTCTTCGTGTTAACTATTTGTAGTGTGCAACATTTAGAGGGCCATGTTGCACAACATGTTCACAATGCTGGTCTTAATTTCATGCATGGAGATGCCTTTGATATTTTATTGAAATTTGAAAATAAATGCATTGTGACATGCTTTTGAAAGAGCCCATTTGGTAGGGATCACGTAATCAAACAATATTAAAAATGCACAACTTAAAACAGTTTTAATCAGGGAAATAATCATTATTTTACCTTCGACAAAAATGGTAAGATGCATAAAATTGGACAGATTCAGTACAGAATAACAACGTGCTTAGCGAGTTAGGTTATTGGAAATTATGAGACTTGGTACTACATTTTTTTTCCATGGTTATATTTATTGACCAACATAATAGTTTTGTTCTGTTTTATGTTATGTTGTCAGGGAATAGAAATGCTTTCACTTGGCTCATTTAAGACCGGTGCCATTCTTTTGGTAAGAATGAATTACAAGTTATTGTGTGCACATATTATATCAATTCATATTAACCCCATACACCACGTGTTTCGTGTACAAGGCTTTGGTTGACATGGTAATTACCGCTAATTTGATAAAAAAAGAATGAGTGTTCCCATTTCAATGTTTCATGGGTTCTGTACTCATGTTTTTTTTGAGTGATGTGTGAACCATTTTCATAGATTACTGGGTTCCATAATTTTTTTTTTACTTTAGATTCTAAGCTCTGTATCTACAAGCAGTAGTCCTATGGCATCTCATGTTTTTAAAAACTTGCAGGCTGGACTTTTTGTATATGATATTTTCTGGGTCTTTTTTACTCCAGTGATGGTTAGTGTAGCAAAGTCTTTTGATGCTCCCATCAAGGTTTGTAGCTCTTATCGACTTAACCCATTTCTATCTCATTACTGTAACTTAGTATGGTATAGGCGTGTCAAATTTCTAACTTTGTGTTGTTTCAAATCACACAGCTTGTGTTCCCAACTGCAGATACTAAACGTCCATTTTCAATGCTGGGCCTTGGAGATATTGTTATACCTGGTATAAAATCCATAGTACTTTGGAAGATTGAAGCTTCAAATTGTGTAAAGTTTTTTAAACAACTGAAAGCTGCTCCTTCAACCTGATTTGTTATAGGTCATATTTATGTCAG